ATAGCCTGCGTTCGATAGTTTTGTTTCGGCTGAACGTAGGCTTGATTCATAAAATTTATCAACATCTTGATGTGACTATCGTACCTCAAACCCTGGACATTCCTTGGAAAGTGGTAGTTGGAACTGGGCACCATGGTGCTTTGGTGGTTCTTCCGGGGATTTCGTGAAGCACTGGAAACACGTGCATGGTCCACTTACATACGTCAACTGATGACCTTTTACATCGACACCAGCTGTGTCCCAAATCTATAAGAGAGCAGTGCTTATGTATATAAAGGCCTAGTGAAAGCGAGATCTTTCATTTAGACTCTAGTTGTCGGCGGGACATGYATCATGTACATCCAAAATAGACTATATGCGTTAAAATCTTTTAATCTTGCAATTTTTCAATCTAGCAATCTCAACTTATATCCCGGATTTTTGTCGAGTGACAGAGTACAAACACTAAAACCTGTGCAGCATATTAAATATCACTAAATACTCCTAAATTATGCTAATTCTATTGTTTTCTATTGTTATAGCGCGCTATTTTGTAGTAAATGGTGGAAAGTGTTTGTACTCTAACACACCTAGTTGCATAAAGTTGTTAAGGAAAAATTACTTTTGCTTTGTAGGGATTTATATTAATTAAAAGATGCAAAAGAAAGTGTTCCGCCTCAATGGCCATATTTTGTCTGCTATTYTATTTCCAAGTTTCTAAATGCTAAATCTCATATCATTAACAGATKTGTTAGAATGTTCAAACTTACGTAGGGTCGATGCCCGAATTTCTCTTGCAGCATCATATTTTCTTTTTTACTATATTTATACACTTGGCTGGCGATGTGGCCAATCAACTGGTGGCTTCCCTCTGTTTCCTTCATCAGCAAGTCCATCTTACTGCATTCTTAAAGAGAAAATACCTTTATCATTATCAATATCATCAGTATTAATTAAAATGCTGTCATTTTTTTTTGCATTAGACACCTCATTGGGATCGTGCGTATTGTGATACATATGACGCATAACGGTGAATGGCGAGTTCTAAACTGCTACTGGCTTTGTACAGAATTTGCTCTATCTTGTGTAATGGAAATCATAAAAAAGGGGAGAGGGTTGGGTGGAGGTTTCGTTACCTGTCATTGGGAATTCATAACCATGGGCAGCGAGATAGTCAGCTTGAAGGTCGTAAACAAGGCAGTCGAAAAACTGTATAAATKAACAAGTCAATAACGACATAATTTCATAAGATTAAGGGGRAAATGGAGCGRTGCAGGTTTAAGGGGCTACTTACTGAACCATTGTCTTCGTCTTTTACCTTGTTTTCAGTCTGTCAAAAATAAGGAATGGATTTTAGCTTCATTTTATTGAAAGATGTTTTAAAATTGTTCTCAAGCATGTATTTGGAGAGGCAGTACGGGGAGGCATGGAAATTAGTCAACCGGGTGAAGGACATAAGAGAGCAAAAGAAGGTCAGKTCTCGGGCAATAGCCCTGAAGAACGAGTAACAACATGGTCTACCCACTTCCAGAAGCTTCTGGGGAACTCCMTACAGYATAAGACCCAGACGAGGAGATACCAACTATCTATGCAGACCTTGAAATCAACGATGAGCCCTTCACTCTCGACGAATTCAGAAGAGTAAAGGCTGTCCTCCAATTAGGGAAAGCGACTGTCCCTGAGGTCGTCAAATCCTGTGGCTTTGATGAGATTTGCCTGAATTTTTGTAACATGGCCCTAATGGAGTGCAACAAGCCTGACCTCTGGTTCCTCATGAACATCATCCCTGTCCCAAAGTCGGGTGACCTGTCCAACACTAACAGCTATCGACGGATAAGAGAGTGTCCGAAATGAAAACCAGTATTCTCCTAATGTCTATATATAT